TATATATTAAATCTGGATAAAAATTTGGTGTCCTATATTAAAACAAAATTTACGAACAAATCAAACAGTAGTCATAACTATTACGCCTTCGGAAAAAAATACTCTCATTTCTACCATGTCTTCGTATATTCACTATAGTGGTTTTACTTTGGTGCAAATTTAATAATTGCAGTTTCAATTACCATAGGTACTGGAAAACTTAGCACTAGCCATATTGTGGCGACTGCGTTTCTAACAAGACCAAGTACATGCGCCCTTGGAATGTAGATGCGATAGAACTTATCTGAATGAAACTTTTAATACTAACGGGATAGACACAATGCAGTACCGAGCCCCATTTTAACTCGTCTCTATTTATTTGGGAGGTAGTGGACCATAGTCAAAATCAAGTTTACCTAACACCAATTAATAGTCGTGAGGACTTAAATAAACAGAATAACCTTATGTGTACAACCCCCCGAATGGATATTAACTTAGTATGTATCAGACAATCTTTATTAAACCAGTTGGACGTTTACAAAATGAGGGTCTGCACTTCGAGCGCGACCGCGACCTTTCATTTGTTTAAGCTGCAAAAAAATTATTATGCTAATATTAATAAAGTGTGATGGAAAATATAAATACTTCTGATTTATCAAACTGATTTTCTGTCACATAATTTAGAAAACTAATAGCTTGTTTCCCAGTACCGTTACAGGGATCCAAAGTTTTTAATTTAGTATTTCCAGAATCTAGACGTTGTTGTAAGCTATATGTTGGGTTACACTTAAAATTAGTAAGGTCATAGTCTTGTGTGAATCACCCTGTATATATATTTGTATATTATACCAATCGGCTACACTATACTATTCTATACAATTCTAGAATTTACGTGGCAGTTCTATATTTTGAAATTTAGATAAATTTTTTTACCATTAGAACATCTACCATAATGCACAGTGCAAACAATAAAAGGATCCCAAAAAATCTCTAATTAAAACTTTAAAATGGTTTCTACAATTTTGCCAAAATTTGATCATCACATACCTATAAAATTCTGTTTCTAAATCTCAGGTTTAATTTTTTTTTTATGATGAAAACTATATAAAATCATTGTCCAAAGTAGGTACCTTACGCTTGTGTCGGACCTGGACTATCTGCCTAAGTACCTAAAGCATGCGAGTAAAAATTTCTTCGTCCTAAAGAAAATATTTCTTGATTCAAGGGGTAAAAATAGACAAAAGCCTTCTGATATTTTTAGTAAAACAAATGAAAAACATTGGTTTATAAAAATTTTCCTTATCAATAATGCGTTAGATAAAACAACAATTAATAGAACCTAGTGTAGAAGATATTCAACAATAGTTTGAAAACAGTATAGTGATCTTGTTGACATGATTAATGTGCGAAATAGTAAACACAAATGTATGGCACTTTTTTACATAAACTCTTAAATGTAGGTCATACAAGTCATACATTAGCCTGCCAAAAATCATCAAGGTTTATTTTACAAACATTAGTTACACGTTCGAATCAACTATCTTGATAAAATATTTCACATGAAACTCAGAAGTAGGTACTAAAAATAGCGTCGTTTACAGTACCTATGGCTTTCGTAAAAATAACTTTTTCTAATGCAAAGAATTTTATAGACATTGCAGAAGAAGTTCTTCAAAAATAAACATTAATTGCACATGTAACTATGCGCTGTATTAATTATTTATTAGACCGTGTACCTATCTATTACAAACTAAGTATTCGAGTAGCAGATCGAAAATGTTTTGCTTAAATTGTTCTGCATTGTTTAAAAGACGATAAAATATTTACATAAAGTATTTTTAGCTAGTTAAAACTTGGTGTCGAGAAATCTTTGGAGTATGTTGTAGAGTTAGGCTAAAATTTGACACGCGTTACAGTATACCACGTTATTAATACATTAAGAAAAATAAGGGTGGGTTACTAGTCGAAGACAAAATTTCACACAAATTTGACTGGATTGGATTTTGTCGTTTATAAATACCTAAATATATTAATATGTTAATTATCTGAAAAAATGGTAAAATTTATGACTTATTCAACTGGAAAAATAAGTGGTAGGTATGTGCCACCGTTCCCGCAATCTGTCATCCAGTACCTACTGAATATAAATATAGCAATGTATTTCTAGTTTTTTTTAACTAAAAACATGTGCTTCCTTTTATCTAAGTATCAAAGATAACATTAAATTACAAAAATATAAAAAAAAATAACTTCAAAATTCATTATTCTATGTTAATAAGAAAAAAAATGGTCAGAGGTTGTTTCGACAGAACTTCCCTTGCCCTTGAAGTTAGTCCTACAAATCCCGCTTTTTAAAAAATGTGATTTTGCGAAATTCGTTCTGTGATAACATCTATGAAGTAAAAATCAGTGGCTCAAAAACACTCCCGCAGTCCCTGCCCCGCGGGGGCGCAAATTCCCAGGGGACATGGTCCCCACGAGTGGATAATATAAAATATATTTAAAGCAGATAATCAACGAGAAAAAATGTAGATATTCTCAGTTCCTCAGTACCTATATGCTCCCACAATCGTTTTTTTTTTCAGAACACTCAAATTTGAAAAAATATTAATTCGGGCAAAATTGTAAGATGACAGATAAGTTTTGATCAACCATTTACCATGTTTCAAATAATCTTAAATTATAGGTATGTAAGATTTCCCAGATTTCGGTTTTTGCAATTTCAAAGTTAAAGTGCAAAATGTTGTTATACAATTTTGAATTTTCTCCTAAAAATGTGGATGCCAAACGTAAAAACTCATCACGGATTCATAGATCACACATGCAGGAGCATGTTATATTATAAAATTTAGAAAACATTGACTCGGCAGAACTGAAAAATGACATCATTTTTTGAGAAAGCCATACACAAATAAATGTTGTTTAACATTTTATCATACTTCCTCTAACATTAAAACGTTCGCAAGTTAAATTGTAAAGTGTTATTATGGAATTTTGATTACTTTTTCCAAAATTTGGACGTCTAGGGTAAAAACTCATACACCAAAAGTGGAGAAGTATCTTATTTTATAAAATTTAAATAATATTTACTAATATAAATTTTAGAGACGACGTCTTCCTATTGTGGTGGTGATTATTAGTCAAATTTTGGTTACCATTTTACCATCTACACGATATTTCTAAGAAACATATAAAATTTGGCGATAATCGCTATAGTAGTTTCGGAAATTATTTGTCTAATAAAAATACGGATAAACGACAGATAGACAAACAAAAGTAGGAGACTTATTTTTTCGTAATCTTACGTAGCTTACGCTCGGGAAGTAAAAAAGGAAAAAGCAAAATGGTATTTTTCCCACAGATAACCTTATGAAAAATCTGAAAGTTTTACCTAATTAATTAAGTAATGCAAGGATCAAAATTAGTTTGTCAAAAAAATTTGTATGTTCGAACTCCTGTACCTACTGTGGATTATCTCGGAAGTCCTCACTTCGTATAAAATTTTTAATGCCTATTAATACTCGGGGCTAAAGGTAATCCCACATATGTAAGTACCTATTTGGCCAAATATTATCTAAAGAAAACAAAACATTAACGGTATAATGAAGAAGCGCATCAGCTCGTTGAAACTAAATTTGGCATTAGGTATATTTGTATCTATATTCTTCTTAAAAATTCCAAATAACTATTTTCTGCCAGATTATTATTATTGTTACAAAGAAAAGATGCAGTTTTTCTATCGTGTGCAAGTCTACAGTAGCATGTAAAATTTTGTTCAGCCACTTTAATTTCGCAGACATAAAAACAGTCTCGTTCAAAAAAAAAAACAATTTAACAAAAGTCTTATCTACTTACATAACACATGAAATTTATACTTTCCCAAAATTCTACAAAACAATCCAAGTCGTCCCCAACAACTCACATACCAGCTTTATTTTCTACGAATGATATGTAGGTATTTGTTTATTCGGAGTAATTCTTCTCTGTTTTAGTCATTGTTAATTGTATAATTAGACTTTCTAGAATTCTAGACAGTACCTATACCTACTAAATAATATCAAACTTATTCATAGGCACATCTTCTCTCAAAGTTTAACTACCATCATGGTGAGTATTTTAATGTCTGATTTTTTACTGCAAAGGTATATTGAAGCAGTTAGCACACAGTTAAAGGGTAAATAAATTTTTATATGTTATTTTTTTAAAAACAGACTGCAGCTCATTTGGGTTGTGCATCTTTGGAAAATCAGTAATTAAGTAAATTTTGAAAAAAATCAGTAGGTTTTCAGATGTTTCCTTCTGACTGTTCCCGAGTTTCTTAACAATTTGTTGTTATCAATGATGAAGTAGATACATATCTTACAGTTCGCCTCCCATACTACTCATATATCTATATACATTCTAGTAATGTCTTCCAAGCCAGAAAGCTAGACCTGTACTAGAATTTGATGACTTGATGGAGCGAACAAAAAGTCGCCAGTGGTTGATTAACCGTTAGTAAGTGGCACTGAGCGCATGGTTTAGTACCTCTTCCTCTCTCTGCAATATAGATATTGTATCCTCAATAGGAAATACGTAAGTACGTTGTTGTCTCTGGTCTGAAGTGTTACATTTTTGTAAGCATATATTTATATTCATGGACTCGGGCGGTTGAATTGAAATCATCGAATGCTAACTGAAAATGACAGTTACAAAAATTAAAACCGAAATGTGTCAATTATAAAAACACATTTCCGATCGTAGGCTTTCAGTTGTAATAATTTTCGACACATGACGTTTTACGGGTATACCCCGTATATGTACTGTTAGTCGTTCCCTGCACCGTTCATTTGTCGACATTCCTCGCCATGGCCGTGGCTCGACAAAGCAACATTTCCGAGCAAATATAATCAATCGAGCACTTTGTCTGATGGAAATAACGAGCACACATATCAATCAATTTGTCACATAAACAAACACGAGTACGGTTACAAACAAGCAAACGTATAAGAAAAGCAGTAAATATATGACGAATGACGTACCTTTTTCCCCTCCTCAGGAGACGCCCGGCCAACAGACGACGGAGACGCCAATAGCAGACACAAGGACGCCGACGACGTCAATCGGAAACACTATGCGCGACATATCCACCGTCTCACCACACTGCACTTCATCATACACCCGCCGCACCTGAAACAGATAATTGCCCTAATTACGGTACGACTTTACGACTTGTCTACGTATTTCGCAAATAAAACGTTATTTTCTTGCTCTCGCTTTATTCGCACACCCCGGATAACCCGGAATTCGAGGATATTCCAGTCCGGGTTAAGTATTAAACTTTGCACGATATATACGCCACCGAGCGATGAATGTATCTCTAAACGTGCTACGTTACTTCATATGTGGGATCTACGGTAATTTATTATTCGTCTTCCTTTTTGTTCGTATTATTTTATGTGGAAAACAAAGGTTTCTTTTTTGTTTTACTAGTTCGTAGATTCGCACCCAAATTGGCAATATCCATCAGAGGCGGCGACCCTGTGGGTGCAGCGGGGCACCAGCACCCACTGTACAAAATGATATGACATGGAAGGTAGTGTTAAAACAGTAATAGACTGTTTCTAACTAATTTTAGTTTTATTGATTGAACCGTACAGTCTAAACAAAATTCGTATACACACAGTCGCAGTTGTTGGTCACAAAACACATTGTGACCAACAACATGACAATATTAGTAGCTACTCCCTTAATAATAAGCTGCATTTAGAATTGTTGTTAAAATTAATTATAGGTACATCTGAAAAATGTAAGTAATCTATGTAGCTTGCGTTGTGATTTTGATATGAACTTGCAACTACTTTAGTCTAAAATCCTACTGAAAAGTTGTATGTTATCTGCAAGTGGTTTTACTTGTATTTTAGTTTTACATATACAATGCGTGTTTAAAGTATGAAACAGGGAAATGCATGCAAAAAATACCTATACTTTTATAAAAAAAAGTCAGTTGTCGTTTTCGAGAATTGAATGGGCATACATTTTTTTAAAAGCAACAACACCATTGCTGATTTCTTAAATAAACTTGTAGGCGTAATTTTTTCCAGGGTCAGTTTAGTACTTAGGATATAACGATTATAATTGGATTGATAATTTTACAACAACAGTTTTGAGACATGGTTTCAATATCATAAGAAGTAGAAACATCAACATTTTAATTCAACCTTCCTACTAGCATTTAGACAACTAAAGAAACTATATCAAAAGAGAAATAAAACTGGACAAATTAAAAAAATGTGATTAACCCCAAAATTCAGTAGAGATATAATTTTGGTATATGTACATTTATTACTTATTAAAATTATTTATTTAGCATTTATTTTGTATCTTCTGTCTGGCATACCTATGTAGGTTTGAATAATATACAAAACAAAATTATTATTTTTGTTTTTAAAGTGTATTTGTAAACTCATAAATTAACTTAAAATTTGTTTCAATACAGGGACGTTTGTCATTTTAAATACAAAAATTTTCATCTTTCATATAGAAATACTAACAATATATTCCGATTAAGACCCTAAAAGACAAATTAGAATAATACGTTAGAACTATAAACTTGGCTAGAACTATTTAATTATCACTTTTTGTCCTCTTACAAAAAGAAATCTGTTTTAAACAAATTTAAAAATCCAACAAAACCAATACAAATAATTGTTTCGTAAAATTTTAGAGTAATTATCCCTAGAATTTTTGAGATATTATATTTTTAAAAGTCTAATTCCTGTTTAGGTACGGTAAAAATACTGCATATGTATTTAATTTCGACAAATGTCAAACAGTATGAATATATGATCTACGAAATATTTGTTAATGTTGCTAATTTTAAACAATTGAATGAAATTTTACTTATAGTTTAGGAAATGAAAATATACCGTATAAAACGTTATTGTCAATAATAAGACTGACAGTAGTACCTACAATGGTAAAAAATATTTATGATTCACATCAATTCATCCGCATTTGTCGGAAAACATTTATCAGGATCGGATTTGCGCTATTTTTAAAATTTAAGAATAAGTAAAATACTGTTTGAATAATGACAATTCATCGGAATCAGAATCAAACTGATATTGTTTTATGTGTCCAATGTACCTGTTTGTAATATTAGAAATAAAAATTCTGGATATTTTATTCCGACTACGTATTTAGATCAAACTTAATCCCACATAGATGGTTATATTTATTCATTTTACACGTAAAATTACGCTCATTTTCGTTGGTGAGTAAGGATGACATCAGTCCGGACCTGGACTGTTCTATTTTCGGACATCTGGTGGCTATCGGCAAACGACAACTTGGAATTGTAAATATTTTTTACAATTGTACTACTGTTTCTCTCGTTATTGGCATTAAAATTTTATAAGTTATATTTTCATTTCCTAAACTATAGATATGAAATAAAAACAAGTCACAATGTTTTTCAAAATTTTGGAAAAATACGTAGATATAACGCCAATTTATTATGTAACTCGCAATGTGAAAAGTAATTTAGGTTATATGTTTAAAAAGATATTTCTTCAAGAATTTGCAAAAATAAGAACCCTTCCACAACAGATTGTTGGAATAGTCTGCATATAAAAACTTCAGTCATTTTCTCTTCTTTATATTTTTCATAGCCCTTTCAACGCACCTTTTTACAAACCTTTTTTATCTTTCATCAAAATTTCTGTTCAGCTCTAAAATTCTTCCCCTTTGCTTAACTTACCTATATTCTATATTGCTTCTTAACAATTTGTATCTGATTTTCTCTCCTGATTTCTTTCGGTCAGTATAGCTTTTCTCTTATAACACTGATTATTTTCTTTCTATACAATTTCGTATTTCGATTTGTCTCTCTAAAATGTAGTATTTCTTTTGGTCTCTTAAATTTAACTACATATTCTTTGGTTCTCACCTGCAACGTACATGCAGACATATCTGTGTCTCATACCCCTTGGGAAAATTGTCATTTTTACTTTCTGAGGGTAACCTAGGGAAGCATTGTGTAGGGTCCATTTGATGAATGGTTAATTCCATGTTTCTCGACGTTTCGTGGCTTCAAGAAAAAAAAGATGGTCTGCCGTTTTCGCCTCCTTGGCGATTTTATTAGACAGATAATCGGATATTCTTTGTAGGGAAATTTTCAACGTATATTAAGAATAGGTAGATGGTAAAACACAAACAAAAATTTGTCTGATCATCCCCACCTAAAATTCGACGATCTTCTCAAGTAAATGCTATTTTGTATAAAAAACGTAAATACCTATATAATAAAAAAATGTGAAAATTAATATGGTTCTGTTCCTCCGGTCTGTTAATACACTGGTTTGAAATTTTGCATTAGCATTATCACGAACATGGTAAATCACTAATTAAAATGTGTCTCTTCATTCCTTTCAGAAACTTGATGAGATCATCTCAAAATTTTGATAAGTAAATCTCGCATGAAACTTATATCTAAGTATATTGTGACATTATTTGTGGTTCAACGATGTGTTTATATTTTTTAGAATCGTTTATACGACGTTTATTTAAATTTATCAAAATTCTAGGTACGCACTACAGTTCCCATTCACCCTTATTATACATAGTAAAATTGATACATATATTTATACTACTAAAAGTTGATGACATCACCATAAAATTTTATTAAGAAAATCTTACTTGAAACTTGTGACATATCATGCGATTTTGTAGGTAATTTAACAATCCCCATATATTTTTATTTTAATATAAATTAATATAATATAATCATCTAATTACTCATAAGTACGTAGATATTTATTAACCTTTTATTTTGATTTTTTTTAACTAACGACGCCCGCGCCCTTTTAAATTACTCGAAACGGCTGGCAATATTGTTACTATTCAAAAGCAGATGCAATGGTGCAAAATTAAATATTACTCTGTCGCAAAAATCCTTCAGTTAATAAGTTTCATTATTTCATTAGGTAATTATGAAAATATTGAATATTTAAAAGTAAATTTCAAAAAATAAAGAAATCATTTCCACGAATAATGTTACCTACAGTTTCATGTCACGAAGTAACTCCCACAACACTTCAATTTATAAATAATAATAATAATAATTTAAAAGAGAAATTGTCACTTCACCATGTCACAACCGAGTTCTACGTGAGTAATAGTAATAACATGCCATTGTAGCGTGAACAAATTTAAAACTGAAAAAATGAGCACAGTTCACAAATTTGATTTTAATTCTTTCAGAAACTTTGTAAACTTTAAATAAATTTGTCGTAATCATCATCGTTATTCAATTCTAAACAGTTTACACATTTTATATCATAAATGTAATAACAACTTGTTGCATACTACAGACTGGTAATTTGATAAATATCACAATGGAAAATTTGTTCTTGTCCAAAGGTAATCTTGTTATTTTTTACAAAAATTTTTACTATATAATAAACAACAGACATATAATGAACAGATTACTTAACAGCCGTAGAAAAACGTCATTTTCTTGTCCTCGCTTTATTCGCACATCCCGGATAACTCGGAATTCGAGGATATTCCACTCCGGGTTAAGTATTAAAGTTTGCAGGATATACGCCACCGAGCGATGAATTTATCTATAAATTCAGCGCGAGTGTTACGTAACTTTCATATAGGATCTGCGGTAATTTGTTTTTTCGCCTTCCTTTTTGTTAATATTATTTTATGTGTTTAATAATATTTCCAGACACGTACTTTTTATGAACTATAGAAAAAGGACAAAATATCCGCCTCTGCTGGAATTGGAAGAAATATTGCGAAGCTTTATTTTGGCAGGAAAGTGTAAATTACGTGACACGGCTTAATCTTATTGCGTAATTATTATTGTTGTTTGCGAAATTAATTAAAGAGGGGGAAACATTCTTATTAATGTCCAAATTGTTCAATGGGAGAGTTTAATGACTATTCTAGACACGAGCTTAATGAAATGATAATTATCATGCAGATGTTTAGTTTAAAACAGAAATTACTATAATAAATTAGTGAATATATTAATTAAGCCGCTCATGATAAACAGTTTTGCTAATAAAAATGCTGCCTTTGTAGTGGCCGCTATCGCTATAAATTGATATCTTTTTTGATCCACATATGAATGGCTTTTCTAAAACACTTATAATAAAATCAGATTATATATAATA